GTCCATATAATTCTCTGTCTTGTATAAGGAGTTGGTGCTACTCAGAAAAGTAGTAGAGCATGGTTTGCTCCCTAACATTCCTATTTCTTCAAGAATATCAAGGGCATACTTCCTTTGACAAAGATGTATCTCTTTCTTAGATCCAATGACTTCAAAACCTAGAAAATACTTGAGTTCTCCTAAATCCTTAATTTGGAATTGGTTGTGCAAAAGAGTCTTTATGTGACTGATCTCATTCATGAAATTCCCTTCTAAAACAATGTCATCAACATACACAAGTAAAGCTGTGAAATCTGTAGGAGTTTTCTTAACAAAAAGGGAATGGTCAGATTTTGATTGAACATAATCAGAAGAAATAAGAAAGGTGGAGAGTTTGTCAAACCATTTTCTGTAAGATCCTATATACTTATATGTTTTTAAAAGATGGGGTTCTTTAATTATTGAATTTTTAAGAAGCACAATTATTGCTTGGAAGCATCAGCCGCCCATAGGAAGAAGTTGATTATTGTATTTGGCAAATGGAGAGCAGCAATTGTCATTTTTGGCTTCTTTTGAAATAATTGTGCATTCATTCTACGAAAGGAGAAAGTGGAAGTGAAACTGGGGGTGGGTGTCATTTTTCTCCAAAACCATTTCCTCTCTCTAAAACTTCAACAAATACTTCCTGACTTCTCTCTAGATTTCCAGCACCTAGAACCATAGGAATTCAATTCTGATGCTACCAATGCCTCCGCGGAGTAGAGGGCTTCATTTCAACCGAACGTTTTCGTCGTTCTGATCAGGGCAGAGTTCTTGGCTGTAGGATGGTTGTGCTTGGAGAAAACCAGGTAAGGGGAGCTAGATCTTTCTATGGGTTGTATGAGCAATACATGTGTTGATTTTTTAAATGAACTGTATGCTGGAAATTTGTGACTGTGGATGTGGTTGGACAGAGATGATATTTGAGATTGGTATGTTGATGTATGTATTTTGTTTGAGGGGTGATCAAGTGAAAGGTAAGGAAAATATACACTGTTTTGAACAAGCTGATAGAGTTTTGGGTCACTTTGAGAGGAAGTGAGGTAGTGATTTTGGAAAGTAAGGATTTTGAGTACATTTGGGCTATTGGGATATCTTAGGTAAGTCATTTGTGACTTGTTAGAGTCATCAAATTGATCAAAACAGGTGCAAAATGGTTGCTGTCAATTGGTATGGGGTTGGACGACTTCTGGTTCGCGCCCGGCGCCCCCAGTGGCGCCCAGGCGCGAGACTCTCGGCAAAAATCGCGCCCAGCGCCCCTCATCTCGCGCCCGGGCGCGAGTTGTTCGTAGAAAGTGGCTTTGTCTTTGTTTTTGATAGTTTTTGGGGTTCCGGGTGTCCGTTTTGGACGTTTCTTAAGTCGTTTTGGAGGTTTTGGAACCTTCCGGGACTGTTGGTGATGGTTTCAAAGCCATTTTCTTTGTCTAAGTATGAGTTACGGGAATTTGTGTTGTTTAGTGGTTCTCTTGAGACGGTTACGGTTTAGTAATGTGTATTGGATTGATTAATGTTGTTTGCTTAACAGATTTTTATGCATGTGGAATATATATACTGTGATGTGATTTATGTGAATGGAAGAGATATGTTGGATTTACTGTGGTAATATGGTAGTTTCTGATTATTTATAATTGTAATGATCGTATTTTATTATATTGCAATTGAATTTATGTATCTGATCATGATATGAGTATTATGGGGAGATTTTGTAATGTTATAATGTGAGTTGAAGAATATGAGTATGGTATGAATCTCCTGGAGAGATTCTGTAATGTTATGGTATTAGTGTATATGTTGATGTTGAGGGTCTTGTAGTCGGAGGTTATCCTGATACTCTAATAATCATCCAGTCTCTAGTAGAGAAGGATGAATTATGTGGTGAGAGGAGCAGGAAGTCCTGGTCTATGTGCCAGTTTTGGACATAGTGAGGGGACTAACCTTGTGAATGGTATGAAGTATTTTGGAAGTGTATTTGTAAGAAGAGGTAGAAATCATTACAAGTGCATAACCTCCCGTGACCGCTCATCAACGTATCATCCGGATGAGTGTCTATTGGGTACTGTGGGACGAGTGTCCAATAGGAATTGTGGTACGATGGTATGAGGGTGTCTGACTTAATTATTATATGAATTTTGTACTGAAGTAATTATGCATGTTTTATAAATGATTTATTGCATGTTAGCTCACCCTTGCATTGTCTGTTTTGTGTGCTGTTTGGGTATGTTTCTTTGGCGATGATCATCCACTTGGATGGGAGCAGATGTTGTCGCGGAGATTCCCTTGGAGCAAGAGCTGGAGGTTACTAATGTTGCGGAGTAGTATTCTTAGAACTTCCTGATTGAACACTTGTAGTGTTTAATCCTTTCAACTGTTCAAGTTTAAATTTTCTGTTTCTTTTATTTCTGGATGACTTTAATTTCACATTTAATTACACGTCATACTCCGACTGTTCTCTATATTTGGATGTTAACGTCTTTATTATATAATATTGGTCATTATATAATCGGGATGTTACATTGTCTACTGGCTTATTTCAAGCCATATAGGGATTTAGTGAGCTTACAAACTTGTCCCTTGATGCTAGTATTTAAACCAGGAGGAGGATCCATGTACACATCCTCATTTAAGTCTCCATGTAAGAAAGCATTGTCTACATCAAGTTGATGTAGGAACCAATTCTTCGAGGCAGAAGGAGCAAGTAATAACCTAACAGAAGTAAGCTTAGCAACAGGGGAAAAGGTATCTAAAAAATCTATTCCCTCTTGTTGGGTGTAACCTTTTGCAACCAACCGAGCCTTATATCTTTCAATAGTGCCATCAACCTTGTGTTTTACCTTGTAGACCCACCTACACCCAATGGATCTCTTTCCAGGAGAAAGTTGAGTCAAAAACCAGGTCTAATTGTCTTGCAGAGCCCGAATTTCCTTTTGCATAGCATCGGCCCATTCAGGGTTGTTTTTAGCCTCATCATAGGAGTTGGGTTCCTTGTTAGCAGTTATGGCAAGAGTGTACCTTAAATGTTTATCAGACAGAGATTTATAAGACAAAGTATTTGTTATAGGGTAAGGAGTACTTAAACCATTCTTGGCACACAAATAGGCATATGGGGATTGATCACTTTGTTGTATGTAGTCCTTCAAGTATTCAGTAGTTCTTTTAACTCTGTTACATCTCCTTTGATTGTTTCCCTGTTCCTGTTCTATGATATTAGTGTCTTTAGTACCAGTATTGGTGCTCTTAGTAGGGCTCGGACTTCCTCTTCTATCCTCAACAGAGTCCTTCTCATAACTGTAGGTAACATCATCAAGAAAAAATATGTTGTCTTTATTGTTATTACAATTTTCTCTACCTCCTTAATTGTTCTTGTATGGAAAAATGTCCTCATAAAAAATGACGTTTCTACTAATGAATATTTCTCTACTGTTAATGTCGAGAACAATATACCCTTTTACTCCATTTTTGTATCCTAGAAATATACCCTTTCTAGCTCTAGGATCAAGCTTATTTCTGTTGCTTTCCAAAGTAGAAGCAACCAAAAACTTTTAGATAAAGATAGGTGGGTGGATTATTATGCAGAACATCAAAAGGGGTTTTATCTTTAATGACAGGGGAATGTAGCCTATTTATCAAATATATAGTATGTGATAGTGCATTAGACCAATAGGCATGAGGAATATTAGATTGAAAGATTAAACTACGAGTAACATTCAATATGTGTTGGTGTTTGTGCTCCACAACAGAATTTTGTTGTGGAGTTTCAACACAGCTCCTTTGATGTTCAATTCCATAAGAATCATAAGTGTTGGAACAATTAAACTCAGGACCATTATCTCTCCTAATGACTTTGATAGTCTTATTAAATTGAGTCCTAATTCTCATGATAAAAGCTTGTAAGAGTTCCCTAGTCTGACCCTTATTATGCATGAGAAAAGCCCAAGTATGCCTACTACAATCATCAACAATAGTGAGAAAGTATTTATGCCCATGTATAGATGGAATGGAGATAGGACCCCAGATATCACAATGAATCATATAAAAACAGTTAGCAGATAAAGAATTACTCTTAGGAAAAGGTAATTTGTGCTGCTTAGCATAATGGCAAATGTCACAATCATTATCAAAAGTAGTTTGAACATAAGGGAAAATTTTACATATTTTTTCAACAATTTTATGTCCAGGATGGCCTAGCATACAGTGCCACAGATTTACATTGTCATGTTCATAAGAGAAAACAAAACTAGGAGCCAGATTCCTTCCAAAAGATTACAAGTAGTAAAGTCATTTGCACACACTAGCATATCCAATCATCTTCAATGTAGAGTTGTCATGAATTTCACACATCTTAGAGGAAAAAGTTAGAGTACAATTTATATCTCTAGTTAAACTTTGAACATATATGAGATTAAATATAAATTCAGGTATGTATAAAACATTGAAAATTATAAAATCTTTAGAAAATTATATGGTCCCTGCGTAGTAACAGTAGAATAATTGGGCAGTTTAACAGATATAGGCTTGATTTTACTGAAAGTTGTGAATTGATTTTTGTCATGGGTCACATGATCAGTGGCCCCTGTATCTATAATCCATGAGAACATACCTTGTGTGTCCTCTGCATTGTCTTTTTGTATTTGACTGATTCTATGAGAAGAACTATCAGCCTTTTCCAGCATTTGTAATATCTTTTGCATCTGTTCATGAGTGAAAGAGTTTTGAACAACACTCTGTTGGCTGGTCTGTGATGCAGTAGAGGTAGAACAAACCCCATTCATTCTGTCCCATATTACTTTGACCATTATTGTCGTTCTTCTTATACCACGGTGGATATCCATGTTTATAATAACACTCATCAACTGTGTGGTTCATTTTATGGCAGTGGGAACATTGTTTCCCATAATTGGGATTTCTTCCTCTCCCTCTTCCTTGACTTCTAGAGGGATTTCCACGTCCATGAGTCCTTCAGCACTGTCACTCTTCCACTGATTCTATTTTTCAATGGTGTTAACAAGAATTTTGATGTCATTTTGATTGGTGAGGCCAGAGTCATGTTTCTCCTGTCTTTCTTGCTGTATAATGAGATAAAATACACAGTTAATGCTGGGTAAAGGTTCCATAAGCAATATTTGTGTCTTAACAGTATTATAACATTCGTTCAAGCCCTTTAGAAAGCAAATAACATGCTCCATCTCCCTGTATTTATGAGAAACTCTGGATAAATCATATCTGCAAGGAATTTTGCAGCTACAGCATGGAATGGGTCTGAGAAACTCCAATTCCTCCCATAAGATCTTCAGATCAGTAAAATACTGGTTTACACTTCTTTCTCCTTATTTAATAGAATGAATTTCTTGGAGTAAGTCTAAAAATTTAAAGTAATCTCCTTTGGAAAACCTTTCTTTCAATTCTTCCTATAGTTCTTGAGCATCCTCCACATATATCACACTTTCTGCTATTTAGGGTGAAAGAGTCTTGATGATCCAAGACAACACCATCATATTGCTTCTTTCCCAAGAATAAAAAAGGAGATAATCTCTTTGAGGCTTCTTGATCCCTCCATCTATGAATTTTAATTTGTTCTTGGAAAGAAAGGCCCTTCTCATATTTCTGCTCCAAGAAGTGTAGTTAGATTCGTTGAGAACCTGAGAAATAAGAGAGGTGTCTGGGTTCTCTCTTGGGTGAAGATAAAAGGGACTATAAGGATTGTTGAATTGATCCATATTCTCCATGACAACAAGAAAGGCTTAAAGAAAAGATTAATACCAAGATAAGAGCAAGAAGAAGAAGTATGTGCAGCGAAAACAGTGGCAGAACAAGTACATGACCTGCTCTGGTACCATAATGAAAACACAGGCCCAAAGTCTGAAAGACTGAGGCCCAAAATCTGTGGCCCAATAGTGTGAGACAAAAATCTCACTTGAACCTTCTGCAAGTCAGAAGTTAGGTGAGCTATAGCATCGAGAGTTTTCGTGCGAGAGAGAAGAGAAGAAGGCAATCTCCATGGTGCTCCGACGAGGCTTACAACGGCGACGCTCGAACGGAAAACGCAAAGCACAGATTAAAGATGAAGGAGCATGTAACATAGGTAAGAAAGAATCAGAGTATTATATTTTACTGAATGAGAAAATGATGATTATTTTATGCTTTTTTTCTGTATAGAATAGAAACGCTGGAATCCCTATTATATAGGGTTTTGGTGAGTGTTGATTATACAAAAGAAATTCGTTAGAATCCCTAACAGAAAAATAAAAACCCATAAATAAAATAATCCTAAAACAATATTAATGTTCTTATGAACAGTAATTACAAAATAGAAAACATTAATGATATAACAGAAACATTTAATAAGCACAATTGTGATTTAAGAATAGATTTCCAAATTTACTTTTTAAAAGACAAAGATTCATTGTTAAAGTGGGAAAGAAATTTTTATCAGTACATCTTCAGTATTTTTTTTTCCAGTTCTTTCTAATTTGGGAAGGATTTTGAATGCTTGTTTCTCTTTTTTTCTATCTATGTTCGATGTTTTAATATTTTTCCTCTTCTTTTCTATCTGTGTTCGATTTTACATCATATTTTTAGATATTTGTATTATGACATAAGTTATTAATATTTGTACGTTGATAGTGTGAGTACTAGTATGTGCGTGTATAAGTTCTTGTAAGTAGTGTGTGCGTGTATGTATTTAGTATAAATATTTTAAAGATACATACACAAAGACTCAACAACATCTCTGTTTCCACTAGTATTAATAAAAAGAGTCGTTATTGTAAAGGAATAATAAGGCATATATAAAAATATGAGGCGACCATAACTTTTATAATAAAACCCTTTTGTAGTGTCCACATTTTATTTTCAATTATACCCTTTAAATGATTTTTTTTTAATTAAAATAATTATTTTATTAATTTTATCCTTTAAATAACTGTTTATCAATATTACTTTTTTAATAAAACCCAAGTACAATTAATAACGGACGATAATGATAAACTAAAATATAATTTTTGAACTATTTTTATAATCTTAAATAAATTTTATTTTTAATAATTAAGTATATTTCGTTTATAAAAATTAAAGCAATTAATATAATTAATATTTTTTTGTGAGTCATAATGGATTATGCAAACAAGAATACAAAATATAGAAACTAAAATAATCTATAATAATTTATTAAATTAATTGATTACATTGTATCAAACATGTTTTTATATTATATCTCTTTACTTGAAATATTTTAAATATAACACAGGTATAATTAACGATTACATAATATATATATATATATATATATATATATATATATATATATATATA